GTCAAACATTGCAAATTGCAGGTGCTAAGTGAGACTTCCTCCCTATTATTCTAAACCTTAGAAGGGTATGCATATAAATCCCTAAAGGTGGGTTTGTGGTATCCTTCTCTGCTACAGGAATAAATTAACAAGAGGAGATTATGCTGGGTGGATAGTCTCTACCAGGGAGGAAGATGTGGTTCAAGTCCAGTGTAATAACTAGGCAGTCTACATTACAATACACTCCACAGGGGCAAGTGGGTGGCAGTGGTACTTTTAGGGGAAAGCATGAACAAGCGTAAAGCTGAACACTTTGTAATAGTGTTGTTCAGGTTTAACGTTTCAGCCCTATGCAGTTTTACCTTTTCATTACTGTGTACTTTCCCTCTTCATCCACTGAGTGCATCAGAAAACAGGCAGAGTGCTCAATATACTTTGTGTCTTCTTTCCTCGTCCCATGAAAGGGGAGGAAACAAAGGAAGGACTCACTTTAGGGGCATATTAAAATATCCTACAGATCAATCCCACAGTGTGCCTAGCCAGGAAACATTTCCCATAACTATACCCATGATATTGAACACATTAAAAATAGTTACCCTTCTCTGGGAGTTAGGTGCATCTGGAAGTTAAGGCTTGTATATATTCTAGCAAGGAATCCTTAATTTAGGTTGAGGGAGTGGGGAAGGGAAACTTAAAAGGTCAGGCTCTAGAAAAACATATTTTAGCTTATCTATTTGACAAGACTTTGCCAGAGAAGTTGCAGAAGAAGCAAGATTTAATACAACCAAACTGAGCTATAGAAGAGAGCATAAAGTGGAGGATGTAAAACTGCCTAAATAGGATACCAGTCAGTTTCCTCTTCCTATCTTCACTGCTCACTCATTTAACTCATTAAAAAGATTGCTTACGTTACCATGGCTAGGTAAATTCTGGGGCTCATAATCATTCCATAAGGCATAGATGGGGAAGGTTTCCTATCTAAGGCAAATTCTGTCAATTGGTTTGCAAAAAAACTCAAAATTAGAAGGCCACTATTGTCTATTTCTTCCTGGCATCCTCTCCTGCTGACAAGGAGAAATACGGAATACAATTGGGATTGCTAGCTCACCAACAATAATAAGGAAGGACAGACTCTATATTTCTATCAGTGAACACTTTCTTCACATTCAAATCACTTGGATATTCTATGGCAAGCCCACTTCATCCCTGATGCAGAGCTTTGAGATGGAACAACTTCAAGCTGGAACAGGTATATGAGGCGCTCTTCTATACAAGAATACCTGATTCCTTTCAAATGAAAAATGTAACATTTTTGGTCAAAAGTCCTAGGAGATGTGAAATTCAAAGTGCAAACCCTCTTACCATCCATTCAGAGAACAGCCTATACAATAACTCCTTCATCCCTGTCAAAAGTAGTGCTTATAATATTTGAAAGTAGGAGAACCATCTTTTCTATGAGAACTAGTAATCAAATGATCAGCTACCAATCAGAAGAGCTTAGAACCTGGCAAAGTTTCCAACTGATTAATCCAGAGAAACATCAACAGATGTTGCTCAGGCACAAAACACCAAAAAAACCAACATTCACCCTTACTCTTGAATGAGTGCAATATACAAGGATAATTCTTTTTCACAGGTCAGAAGAATTTTCATATAGAGCTCTATTTATTTGTCATATTATTAGCAAACGGGACCAGCTTCCCTAAAATCCACCACAATCTAGCTTTTAAGAAGACTAGAGAAGAAAAGAGGCTTGTAGGAAGCATGAGGCAAAATACTGTCCCAGATGTCACATTATCCTCTAGATAGAGGAATTTCCAGGGAAATAATATTTTCACTGCAAGACCCTGTCATCACCAGTTAGCATACGATAAACTTTGTTTTCTGTTCTAGGATTATAAAATCTGAGCGTTCTAAGAAATTTAACTAATTTATCCCACCATCTATGCTGCTCATATATATATGAAAACAAACCACAAGTCTCTCCAGGAAGTGCCTGAGATGTTACACATCCAGAGGTATCTAATCATTTCCCATCCCTATCCTAGGCCACCTGAAAAACTGAGAAAATTCAAGACATCTGGGTATGAAGAACATGACAGCATCTGAACAAGGCCATCCTTACAGCAAGCATATTTGAAGACCAGTTCCAATGAGCAGCATGGGAGATTAAATAAAGTAACTCTGGTTCCAACCACTGCTGGGCCAAGAAGGATAGCCTCTTTCATTAAACATACAACAATAGGTAGGAAAAAGCACAGAATACAAGTTTTAAAAAGAATCAGTGCTTCAGCAGCGCTCCCTGGCATGACACAAGAAGTTTCATCTCTTTCCAAGAAGTTATATTTATAAGATTTCAAATATTTCTTAATTATTTTTCTCTCAGGTTTTTTTTTTTTGGAAGTGGTTTTCCCCAGAATACTCATATGATGGTCAATTGGCCAAAACCACTGGCTGGAACGACTGATTGGGATACTGCATGGCATTCAGATTGTAGCTGAGTCCTTCCACAAAGGGTGTCTTCTCCAGGAAAAGGCTGTTGGTGCTTCCACCAAAAACCTGAGCCATGTCAAAGCTGCTGCCACTACTGGCACTGAACTGTGATTCAGGAGGAATGCCACCAGCCTGGGTTTCAGTGGCTACGTTATCGAAGAAGAGGCTGCTGGCTCCTGGTGATCCACCATTGTAAACAAACTCCTTGGCATTGGGGGAGAGTTGAGACTGAGGGGCTGGGCTGCCCCCGATGAAGTTCAGAGAATGCATAGACAGGGAAAGGCCTTTGTGCTTCAGCAGGCTATTGGTGGGTGAACGGACCAAACGTTGTGGCTGCTGTGGAACCACTGTACCATTGGTGCTTGCTCCAGCTCCTCCGCCTTTCTTCATTTTAGTTGAGCCAAACTTTGTGGCAGCAAATGTAGCAGTGGTAAAAGTAATTGGCTGAGCAGATCTTGGGATGAATGTAGGGCTAGGTGATTGACCAAAAGATGGTGATGGAGAATTAGACAAGGAATTGTCCTGGCTTCCAATAGGTACAAACACCTGTGCATCAGGATTGAAACTGCTCTTGATCTCCTTGTCTAACTCAGCTGCACTGCAGCCCTCACTGTCATCCAGATAGAGGACCTTGACTGACCCTTTCTCACCAATTTGGTAAGAAACCTCAAAAGGATCAATCCAAACACTAAGTTCTTCAGGAACATTGGCTCGCACATCCTCTACAGCAAGTCCACTCCGTTTGGCTGCCATTTCCACTACTGGGTCTACAGTTTCTCCAATATGAACACAACGGTAACCAGAACCTTTCAAAGGTTTCTCTGGATACCAGTGACCTTCATATTTCTTCTTTAGCAGCCTCTCTAGCTCTTCACCAAACAGGTCAGCTCGCCTCCGTGGAAGCTTGTTGTACAAATATGAGATGATGAAGTTCAGAGCAACTTTGATCTCTAGATGCATACTCCCTTTACAGCAAGCAAATTAGGGCAGTATATTAAAAATAGACAAAGGATGCAACCATAAATGGATTTTAGCTCCAAACAATCCTGGAAAAAGAGAAAAGGAAGAAAAGCAGTTAGTATGGTATATTTAATATTATTGCAGAGCAATAGTTCTGTTTTAAAACAGTTCAAAAGGCAATTGCTAAAGCAATTGCTATATATAAAATTGTATGTAATTTCAGAGCGATTGTTAAGGTGGACAAATCAAGTTTTTACATGGGATTTTAAGATACTAAGGAATTGATTTTCCAATCTAATGTACAGCTTTGTTTAAATAATTTTAAAGATTTGTTTTGAACTGGGACATAAAAGTGATTTAGAAACCAGAAAGTAACTACTGTCTTGAGTGTATAAACTGGCACAATATTTTTTTTTCTTTTGGGTTGTCTCCAAAGTTATTTAAAAAAATTAAGTCACTTTTTGTCATGTGCCAAGTGTTATTTATCTGAGATTTTGAAAGCCAGGGTATCTGTAAAAGAATAAAATGTGCTGATTGTAATATACAATATTGCCATGTCCTCTAATAGAAATTTAACATAGTACAGCATATTCAGTAAAGTTTTAGAGTGCCTGCACATTATATACATGCAAATCTATATATTTACATATGCATGTGTGAATATATAACTTTACTATACTGAAGAGTCTTTTAAAATGATTTAGTTCAAATCTATGATGCACTGCCTAAGCATTCGTCATAATTTTGATTACTTGTTTTCCACAACATTGTTATTGTTTTACTTCATTTGAACACATTCCAGTTTATCTGTATACTTCTTAAAATGCAGCTCCAAAAAGTATATGCAAGTCTTCTAAGAGCTGATTTGAACGGAAAAGAATTGGGAATGCTGTTTCTCATGATCTGAAAACTATAGCTCTAGTCATGTAATCACTGTTATTTGTAAGCCGCCCAGTGTCACAGAGTGAGTAGGCAGCCATATAAATCTTCTAAATAAATAACTCAATCTGGATCTAATTATTGCTTCCAAGAAATATGTATCTTAGCCTATATACATGCTATATTTGGTCTGCATTTATTTATTACATTGTACACTGCTCAGAGCCTGTCTGAGAGAGATGAGCAGTTAAGAAATAAGAAATATAAATAAATACTGAACTGCTTAATTTCATTTTGTAAGTTTTTACCCAATTTCTCTTTTTCTTCAAAATAGCGTGGAAACATTGTTTCATAACAATAAAATGTTAAACTTGTATGTCATGACATCCAATGACTGCACTGATTGATTTTTCTATCTAAACATTAAACTTGTATGTCACAACACTCAATGACTGCACTGATCTTTCTCCCCCTCCCCCCTCTCGTTTGTGCGTCTGTCTGTCTGTCTAGATACTTGGTATCTTCAGACACTCACAGTATTTAACATTGGAACAGTATGTTCTGTACAGATACAAATGATATAAATAAGCACATTTACCACAACCACCCAATTTATGGTATGATGTGTTGATAGACCTACCTTCTGAATATCTGATACTAAATATAACAATCATAGTTACATTTAAATTTCATTTTAAGCTACTAGATATAGCAGTTCAGTACATTTATTGAACAAGGAGATAAACTGAGAAGCAAATTATGATGCCTCCCATCCCTATTGTTTTAATAGCAAACAATTAAATATTTGAAACATTATTTCCTTAGCATCACTTCATATGAACAAAAAATAATATTGGAGAGGAATTAACAAGTAACTACTAGCCCCAGGAATGTTCAATTAAACTATAACTTGTAAAGATGCAAGTATCTAATGCTGCTTTTAATGTTTTCTGTGTGGCATGCAGACTAGTTAAAAAAATTCTTAACCAAACTTCTCTTCTTTTAGGAGGGTTGCACTACTAAATGATTTGCTCTCTCAATAATGCTCCAATCCACATTGTTAACTCTGTCCAATAATACTCTTAAGTGCCTAGAAAAGATATATATGATTATTTAAATTGAGGATTGTATGTATCATCAATTTACCTGCAATGTAACAGATCCAGTTTTTAATTGGCACCTTATTCAACAGCCTGCTTTGGTCCATAAAATATTCAAAAAATGAATAATAGAGTTGAATTTCAATGATGCACTACAAAATGTGGTGGTTTATGGCAAGTATTCTGATAAACTATTGGCTATTCATAAGCTAGGAGCCCATTGGAAACCTGGGACTAGAACAGCATTCCCACTGAGGAACAGGAAGAAAAATTATTATCTTTTTTCAGTCATAGCCTCAATCTTAGACATTTGTGACAGCATATTTGCCATTTCTAATTGCAACTGCATTTGTGTACCAATACTTGAAAGCATATGGTGTGGCAAAAGGACAAAGTGATGTATTTAATAAACCATAATCTCTTACGGTAATTAAACTATGGAATTTTCCACAAAACAGTAATCTGAGACAGCACCCTTCAAATGTCAGTTCAATTTGTGAAAATTAGATAAGGATGCATGATCCAGTGTCATTTCTTTCATCTTGACCTTCTGGTATTTAAGGAGCAGATATGTATGGGAACTATACATTTGTTGGAAAGAGAAAGATTGGCAATAAATCCTCCTCTTTCAATGATTAAAATATTTAATACCTAGAGATTGCCAAAGGGAATAAATTTACGAAGAATAAAATGATAAATGGCTATTAAATTGAGAAGGTTATTTGCTATCTCCAGGTTAACATGAAGCATACCTCTGATTATCAGCTGCTGTGAACCAATGAGAAGAAGACCGCCCTCATGTCCTGTTTGTGGACTTTCCATAGGTATCTAGTTAAGTCATTATGGGAAATTAAGATATTAGAGAAAACAGGTCTTTGTTTTAACCCAGCAAATCTCTTAAAATATAAAGCAGAGCTTTGCATCAAAATGTAAATGGGAGCATAAATACAAGATTTTAAAAGTTCTATTCTTCAAGCACACATGTAGTCCTGGATTTATGACTACAATTGAGCCCAAAACTTCCATTTTAAGGAAGACAGTTAAGTGAATTTTGCCCCATTTTACCTTTCTTGCCACAGTTGTTAAGAGAATCATTACAGTTACAAAGTTAGTAAAATGATTGTTAAGTGAATCTGATTTTCCATTGACTTTCCTTAACAGAAGGGTGCAAATGGTGTATTCCAGGAGCAACTAGACTATAAGCTGTACCAAAACTATTTGAATATGCCTATTTAATTTGGGAGGCAAGACCAACTAATGCATAAGCTCAAGTATACAAAATGGTTTGCCTTTGTGTTACTGTTAAATTATTATTTTGAGAAACTAGAACATTTAGGAAAGTAACATGACTGTGAAAGGTTTTTTCACAGGCTATGGTCTTCAACATGCATACCATAATTTATTACTAAAGATTTATCCTAATCAGCCAATCATCGTAAAGAAACATACAAAAATAAAAAATGTTATTCAGAAAATACTACTCTTGTTTGCCACTTTCTCAAGGACAGGAGGCAAATCACCTTCAGCTCACTTCTAAATAATTAGGCTTAAGTCCCTCTAGATTCAAAGGGGCTTACTGCCAAATAAATGTAATGAGAACAGCAACATTTGGACCTAAAGATATCCATTTTGTTCTAATGTTTAAAAAAAACTAAATTACCCAATCTTTTTTTAAATCTAATGGTCTTGAAACCCAAGAAATAAGAAATAATGACCTACACAATGATCTATTAATAGTAATTAGATCAAGTAACAGGCAGAAAGTCAAATCAGCCCAAATCACTTGGCATTATGTTTCTATTCAAGGATGTTTTATTTTGCTTTGAATTTTTCTGGAATAGGTTTCTCATCAGACTAAAAGTACCAAGAAATCTTTTTGAAGGACCTCCACAATATTGTACATTTTAGTATATTGAAATTATAGAATCAGAACAAAAATTTACTAAATACAAAAGAATCCTCCAAATTTGGTACAGAAATTTTTTGAAAAAGATCTGAAAAATAATACCATAGCTTTAATTATTAGCAAAGTATACTTGCATTCATTAGAATTTTTAATCCTTAAAATTATTAATTTGGAAACAAGTGAGACAACTTCAGAGACTAATAACAGAATTAAATCTTTGGATTTTTTTCTATAGAGCTTCAATAATAAAATCCAAGTTATTTCAAAATAACCAATTATCTTGAGAATACAAAATATAATTGCAATTATTCTGCCTGTGGCAATTATATCCATGAGACAACAAATTAAATAATCTCCATGAGATTGTAATCAATATTACTCAATTATTTTGCATATAAGCATTAAAATATAGTTATTTCTTTGGGAGGAGTGTATAGTTGCCTAGTCATAGAGTATCGAGTAAAATACTTTAAACATAGAATACTAGAGAACTTTTTTTTAAATGTTAATTATCTGGAGTGGCTGTTAGGCTGATGATCATAAATACTTTAAAAAATAAAAGCCACACTGACCAATTAAAAAATCTGAATTCCTGATTAATCTGTTATGTATGCTTACACACCAATCCGCTGTTTACAGAAACGCAAGGTATTTGCTTTAAAGACGAAGGAAGAACAGACAGGCGAATCCTAGAAACATTCTCGAACCACAACTGCCCAACCTAGTATTTCCTCTGTCAAAATCCGTTGCCCCCGTAAGGTTATATGGACAAATCACCAACTCCTTCCTAACCCTCCGCACACGTGCGAAGTGGATGTAGTGTTTTCCCCTAGGGACCTCCCCCCCCTCCGCCCCAAAAGGTCTCGAGCGGCTTTCTTGCCTGCCCCTCCCCCTATCTCCTTAAGGGCAGTTGCCAACATTCGGTGATGAAGCCTCCCTAATGACCCTACCTCTGCGAACAGTTTCTTGGCCTCCTCCCAATTCGGGTGTCTCCGAAGCCGTACTACCTCATGAATTCAGCATCTGTTACAAAATGGAACGCCCGAGTAAGTGACCTACTTTGTCTTTTAACTACCCTTCTCCATTTGCTTTGCGCCAAAGCTGGCCCAGGCGAGCGCCTGCTCAGCTAAGCCGTGTAAAATTTTCCATGGCGCATGCGCTCTTTGCGCTCTGTTGCTCGACACCCCCCCCCCCGCTCTCCCTCTTGCCATTTCGCGTTTCAGCTACAATCGCCTTTTTTTCCTCGCCCTCTTTCTCTGCTGTGTGCGGAAAAGCGTATGGAGCAGGAGGGAGGCCAGCTGAGGAAATCTCAGGCACTCGGAAAAGCGCAGCAGCGCCTACTCCCCTGACTCTTTCATTCCTCCTTTGCTGGAGGCCCATAAGAGATCTACCCAACCCCCAGCGCAACCCTGCCTACCTAGAAGGGGGACCCAGGATGGACCCTTTTCCTAAGACACCCCCACACCCGCTCTCTCCAAGGTTTTACACGCAGAGGCAGGGCAAGTCTTGAGGTGTAACCTTCCTGGGAGAAGAGAAGCCACTTTGCCATTTTCACCACAGAGCAAGAGAGCTATTTTGCCGGACCTCTCGCGGAGGCTTCCGTTTCGCCCATGCAAGTGTCAAAGATACACTTGTGGGCCTAAGTCCCTTTCGTGCTCCTTAAGGGAAATCGTATAAACACACCTTCGAAGTCCACCGAAAGCAGGCGGGGGGAAAAAAAGAGTCCGTGCCCGAGTGAAGGTTATTGAGACCTGACCTTCTCCCTGGAAGAAACCCGGAACAGCCCTAGTCCTTTCGGAAGGCTGGCCGAGTTTGCTTTTAAAAGCCAGCCTGCTTAACCGAGGGCTGAAAAGGTCATCTCCGCATCTCCCTTTTGCGGAAAAACAAATAATCCCAGGTTGCGCGGACTCCAAGGCGCTGATTAGGCCCCAGGATCTCTCTGTGAAGGAAAATACCGAGTCTAATTTACCTCACGAACAGGGCCGATGGAAGCCGGAAAGTGCGTTTTTGATACCCAGAAAGTATTGCTGCAGCAACGACTACGACTATTTCATTTCACCGAGCCTCTCCGGCTCCTAACCCAGCCTTTTTTTTAATTAAAAAAAACCCATTGAGAAGGAAGAACACCTTCGGACGGAGACTTCGGACGGAGATGGGGGGGGGGGGGAACCCGCATCTTATTTTTTCCCGAGGTCTGTGTTTGTGACAAACGAGATCATAAGGAGGCGGCGGTGAGAGAAAATTCGAGTATAAAAGGGAAGGAACCACTTTTTAGACAAAGCCGCTCTGGCCATTGATCCGGATTAAGCTAAAGGGAATGAAATAAACTCCCGTGCTCGACCCCCCGACTTTCCATTGTGCCCCCTTCGCTCCACCTCCTCCATTATTTGATATCCACTACCATTTTCCTATGCTTAACAGAAAAAGCGAAGACTACAAGCTCGTCCGCAGTATGTTCTCTTTTAACCAAAATCCGTTTTATAGGAATTTATTTTAATAGTCGGGTCACGATTCCAATAAAATGAACGAAGACAAAATGGTGAACTGGAGTCTTCAGTCGTTCAAGCCAAATGGTTTTCAGACTTCCTCGCCCTTCGAACTAATACTATAATATCAGCAATGTTCCAAGGGAAACAATATTACTAGAAGGGAAGGTCTTGTAAAGGCAGAGCTGTTCTCCCCTAGGGAACCGGGGAGGGGAGGGGGGAAACGGGCGGAGAAGGAACCCCGACATGACTTCTCAGAACCCCCGACTCGGAAGAGCGGCGGCTTCTGAAAGAGGCCCCTTAAAAAAGGCTGAAATCGCTCTTTAAAGGAGCAGCGGAGAAAAGCAAGCTTGAATAGGAAAGGGTGTCGAGACGGCAAACTTGGTCAAAAAGGCATTCTTCAAACAAATGTAAATAGTATAACTATAGGGAATACTCTTCGATTGTGCCCACCCTCTCCCTCTCTAGCCATAAGCATTTACTTACTTTTTTTTTCCTTTTTCCTTTTTTCCTTCAGCACCAGGAAAGGTGGTTTGGTGGCTTCTTTTTCTTTCCAGATATTTTTAGGGAGTTTCTTTTTCACAAAGCGCTGATGTGGTATATTCGATATATATTTTTAAACGGTGCGGATGCTATTTCGATAACTTCTCCCCCCTCTATAGGCCAAATCAGAAGTGGGGTGAGAGGATATTGATTGGAGAGCCCCCTTCTTTCCTTACTTTCCTCCCTCCGCGGGAAACCTGAAGCCACCCTCTCCCTGGCCCAAAGTGAGCAAAGTAAATGAAAAGTTTCACCCTTAGCAACCCTGCGCAAGGATATTCTCTTCCACACCCATGGTGATGCGACTTGCAAAGGACAAGGAAGGGGAGGAGAGGGAGGGCGGGCCGGAACTACTTCCCCAACGTCGGTTTCTATTTAACTCGCGATGTGCCGTAGCGTGCGCTTCGCTCTTGTTGCAAATGTTTGTAAGTTGATCGGAAAGGAAAATCTATCTGTCGCTAACAGCAATTTTTGGGGGTACTATGTGTTATTGAATTTAGCCCCTTCATACTGTAATTCTACTAGTCATTTTTTTGCATTAGTATCATTTAATATAGATTAGATCCCATTACTACGGTTCCAATAACTTAGTAGAATAGTTGGACCACCTGTAAGTTATTTCATCAGAACTAACCACAGCTGCCGGTTCTGTATTAGTGTCTCAAATGAAAACCAAGAGACTACAATTCACTTTTAATGAAGACACATTAGCACCACAGAAAGTCTTTATTTTCCATTTTCTCTAATGAAACAAATAGACAGATGGTAGGTTAAAATTTAGGAAATGTGAGGACAGCAGAGTTTACTCCTGATGGGATAGAATTGGTCAAAAACAACCCTGCATTAGACACACAAATACTATGGAAACTTCCCACTGCCTTGCATATAAAATGCAATCTTCTGAAGGCTGATCTTAATACACAAATGCATTTGAATGAAGGCGTTGCAGAAGGCTGCCTCATTAATAAACTGCAGTCTTAAATATAAAACATTCTTTCAGCTACTCTTGTTATCTATTCATATTTAGATCCTTAAATGATGTCTCAGAAATTTAAGCAACAATGCAAAAAGATAGCATGCTATTGTACTAAATATATGCAAGATAGATCACGATGTACATACTAGAATTGCAATTGCAAATAGAATTACTTCCTAATAGAATTATTCAAGTTCCTAGAGCAGGTTATTCCTAAATATAATTTACTGATCCTAACTTCCAAAAGTATTTCTCCTCCCATTTCTCTTAATATGTTAGTATTAAGATTATTTTAAATGATAAAATAAGACTCCAAACAGAAGCAAGTGGCTTAATTCAGTCATAATAAAGGGTTCTTGGTGCTGTGTGAGCTTGGTTGTTTTCTTGCAGCTGGTTCATTACCCAATGAAATATGATATGATACCTAGTTGGAGGAGAAAACCCAAATTCATAGAGTACCAAGGACCCCTCATTTCAAACCTGAGCTACAAATATTCTTTATCAATCATAATGATCATTGTTCTTTTCATGGACTTTAGGTACCAGTGCCTATTTCTGTTAGTTACCTGGTCAAAGAAAAATTACTGTATTTTTTGGAGTATAAGATGCAAAATTTTCCCCTAAAAATAAGTATGAAAATCTGGGTGCATCTTATACACTGAATACAGCATTTTTGGCCTCCTGAAAACCTGCTCCCTTTGCAAAATGGCTGTGCATAGCCTTTAGGCGGCTTCCAGAGTGCTCCTGGGGGCTGGGGAGGGCAGAAATGAGCAAAAAACAGGCTGTTTTTTGCTCAATTTTGCCTCCCCAGCCCCCAAGAGCACTCTATAAGCCTCCTAAAGGCTATGCATGCCCCTTTTTGACAAAAAGGGCCTATTTGGCAAAAATTGTGCCATTTTTGGGAGGTCTGCAGAGTGCAAAAAAATTTTTTTTTAAAAAATTGCCTCCTCAAAACCTTGGTGCATCTTATACTCCAAAAATACGGTACCCACATGTATGGCTTTGAAACAGTCTTATGCTTCTTAATAAAAGGTAAAAGTCAGAGTTTTTGTTACTATAACTCTCCTCCTACAATGTAGCCAATATTGTGTAGAATTTCAAGCTTTTCCAAAACCTTCCTCTGTTTCTGATATCTGCATATGACAAACACCTATAAGCAAACCCTACTTTTACCCTATTTCTGAAAAAGTTCTGCAGAAAAGGGACACCCGTTTGAACAATATATATACAGATATACCTTTATACAGATAAAGGTAATCCTAGACTTGCAAACATAATTGAACCCAAAATTTCCATTGCTAAGCAAAGACAGTTAAGTAAGCTTTGCCCCATTTTATGATCTTTCTTGTTAAGAAAGTCAATGCAACTGTTGAGTCAATCTAGCTTCCCCACTGACTTTTGTTAGGTCGCAAAAGGTGATCATATGACCCCAGGACATGGCCAATGTCTCAATTTTTGCCCACACAACGATGGGGGTGCTGCTGCAACCATCGTGAGTGTGCATTCTAAGTCATTACTTTTGCTATCGTCGAATTGTCACTAAACAAATGGAAGTCGGGGACTACCTGTGTGTCCATATCAGGAAAAAAACTATGCCTGTTTTATCCCTGCCTGAAGCCAGTCCCAACAGACCTTCCTAAACTTGCCATTGTTAATTTTTCAAAGAGACAAGGCAAAATCCAAGAGTACTCTAGTAGCCACTGGCTGCTTGCTGAGTGTTTGATGGTAACACATCCTATTTTGTGGAGGCCTCAACTTTCTTAATAAAGACCTGAAGCAGACGTTGAACTTTCCCTTAGAGAAGGACTGGTGATAGTCCGTATGTGGGGAGGGTAGTGTTCAACTTTTGCCTCCTCCACGGCGAAAGGGCCGTCTCAGCTGGCATAGAGAGCGGGACACAGCCGTATGGCCTACAAAAACTCGCAACGTTTACCGAAGCGCAATGTGTGTGCGTTTCCCAGTCGATCAGTTTAATTTTAAGGCAGGTAGTTAAGCGTCTTCGTTTCGATGATCCCTCAACTTTGTCGTTTGCGCTCTTGCCGCTCGAGGACCTCTTCAAAACAATACATTGTCGGAGCATAAAGGTTGCGCCTAGGCCTCCGATCTTCTCGCTTACTCCTCCGCTTAAAGTCCGCAGCCCGCATATTTAATCTCACATATTTTGCTGCTTATTTTCGTCCCACAAATGCTGAAGAATATGCGAATCACCTCACATCCCCTAAACAAAACCTCACAAGACACGGCTGTCAGATGGTATTTTAACTATTCATGGAGTACGTTTCCCTTGGCTGAACTGTGAATGCGCATGATTAGGGACTATTTTCTCACCAGTGCGCCGGTGCATCATCCTCGTCAACGTAACTTCAGACGCAAGCAGAGAACTCGGAAGAACAGCCTGCAAGGCGTAGAAGCGCACGCAGTTCTAAAAATAACACCACCATGATAGCAACAGCCTTCCGATTGGCTAGAGGCATGAATGGTTCCGCAGATTGGCCATTTGATTTAACCAGTGCCTAAAAGATTTTACTACGCATGCAAGAACAATTCGGACGGTTCGAAGGTTTATGGGAAGTGTAGTTTTTATTAAAAAGCGTCCTCGGAATTCTCAAATAAAAAGCAACTGGATAAAAAGGTGAAGCTCCGATGTTCAAAAGGAAGACAACACGGTGCTTTATCAGCTTCTATTGACTGACGTCTATATTTTTCTTCAAAGATATTTTCATACTAGAGCATTTGTGAGTTGGTTTCAGAATCATATTCACTTTTTTCTAATGCTAAAGAACCTGGAGCTCAGTTCAGTTAATCCTCTTTGTTGTCATAGCTCATAGATTAAGGGTGTTTAGTTAAATAGCCTAGCTATTATGTTTGGGACAAAATTCTTCAATTATATTGTACTATTCTTTTGTGATAATTATCGGCATTGAATAAATGACCCAGATATGCTAACTAGTATTTAAAGCAAAGCTTTCCACCACCCACCACCCCAAATAGGTCTAAATCTAGGGGGGAAAGATATTTTTGAACATTTATTTTTAATTGAAACTTTAAATGTTGAAAAGTACAACTGAAAATCCCAAGATCTACAAAAGCACTTAACATTTTTTTCCAATTGATTCCCAAGAATCAATGTTGTAATAATATATTAAACAGTAGTCAAGTAGGGTAGTGGTGGTAATATGTGTAAAATATGTTCGGGTTTTTTTTGATGCACCTTTTCCTTTTTTAGCGCCTTGATTGATTTGTGAGGGTTTTGTTCTTTTTAAAGATTTTTTGGAGTTTGTATTTTAACCTTTTTGAATAAAATAAAAATAGACACAGTAAAAACATTTTCTCCAATTGCATTAAGAATTGAATCTTTAACTATTCTTCCTTTGAAGCCCAAATCAAAAACAATATTGTAAAAACAGTATTATACAGTACAGTAGTTAACTGAAAAGTGTAATGGTAGATATTCATATAGTTAGACACTGAAATACCTATAGATTGCTGAATACTGGACAACAGGTTAATTAAAACATGAATTGAAACATAACTATATAGATATGAGTGTTCTTTATTCTTAAAATTATGTTTTAAATTTGAAGACATTTAATGTGACTGGCCATTAAAAAGCATAAAATGTTAATAAAATAAGAACCCCTTTTGAAGAAGGGCAGCTTAGAAATTCAGAAAAATAAGTAAAATAATTTGTTTTTCTGTTCTCAGCAGCTGTATTTGATGAATAGTGAAGTTAAATTGATTAAAAAAGGTCATTTGTTCAATAATAAGAATATTTCCTTTTCTAGACAAAGAAATGTAATTAGAACTGCAATCCATAATTACTCTCCTAAATTAATATTTCCTTTTCTAGACATAGAAAAGTAATGTAATTAAAATTGCAATCCATAATTACTATCCTAAATTAATAGAGGTCAGATAGTATTCCTTATCTTTAAAAACACATATCCAAGGCCCTTTTTCAAATCCAACTGTCACAATACGTGAGACTAAAATTAATTGTTTATGTGAAAAAGCCATTGATATGTATTCCAAGGAATTTACGAATACAGATCAACCATTAGGAATTCATATTTTTTCAAGTAGATAACTCATCACTATGTATGTCTACCATATTCATATTTATATTAGAATTAGTTAAGGAAAATTAGGAAGACAGTAGTAGTAAATTCATAAGCAATTGTATATTAATACATCCATTAATTCATTTTTATTGGAAGCAAATTACTGTAAAATTCCAATAGTATTAGTCCTGAAATTTCCAGGTATTTTAGTATAGTCATTTCTAAATAGTATGAAACAATAGGAATGTACTAAAAAAATTTAAATCCAGATATGTTAATAGTTATTGGTATTTACCAGGAACACAGAATCACTTCTTTTCTAAAATAATTCCAGCCCAAAATCTAATTCTGATATAGATTGTAAAAGCAGTCTAGAAAATTTAGTAATCACATCAAATGGCATCTACTGAACAATTAGGAGAAAAATGTGAAAGAAAACAATAACAAATACCCTTCTATCATAGTAGTTTTAATACCAGGAAAGATTAGTCAGTCTATAATTAGCTGTAATTAGCACTCATTCATCCTCCATCATTCTTCTCATCAGCTGACATTTAAACCCAAAGGAAATGAGTTTTTTCCTGCCTGTCAAATGAAAGGTGCCAAGAAGCACATTAAGTCACTTTGAGATGCAGAATACAATATAACAGGAATATGTTATTAATTGCAGAGGCTTTTGCAATTTAGACATTTGTTATTCTATGGAAGTATGGTCAATTGTAACAGAAGAAGCAGCAGTTCTCACTAGGCAAGAAATTATTCCAATCAGTACATTAGGTTTTATGTTCTTCTAGTTCAGGTGATTCAGTGCTTCATTCCCTTGTTAGAAAGATTTAATTGATTAGACAATTGTTGTTTTGAAAATCATTTGTAGGGCAAGTTTTCAGAAACAGATGAGACAAGCTATCTGAATTTAAGCTAACCATATAACCATTATATGCTGTATTCAAAAAGACCATTACACATGATTAAGTGATTCAGATAATTACTAATAGGTCTTTTCATGTCTGCTCTCATGATCTAGCCCAAGCTTAATAGTTATGAATCCATCCTGGTCTGGGTAAATACTGCAATTTTCAGGCAGTTGTACAGCCTTTTTATACAGAACCACTGTATGTACAAACATATATTGAGAAAGGAAGCCAATGTATACAAAATACGTCTTGCATATCCCCACTGCAATGAATGAGAATTGTAGAAAAAGAAAATTGCTGTTTTGTGAATGCTGATTAGTTACAGTAGACACCTAACAAGATTGTTTTCTCCAGATCACTTCTTTATCTTTCCACATATTTTAACATGTTCCATGGACTTGGTAATTCCCTTCAATTATGACTAAAGCCCTACAAAGAAACATGGTAGTTCTCAATGTGTGTTTTATAACACCTATTGCACTAAATTCTAGCAGTCTAAAACTTGCCACATAATTTTTAGGTAGTTATTAATTCATGATGAGATGACAAGTTTCTAAATTACCTCTACTTTTTAAAAAATAATCTTTTGTCACTTGCCTGATTTAAAGGCCAATGAAATTAAGTGATGAATGAAAGTTCCAAAATTTTCAGTCTCATAACTGGTGTTTGTTCAGAATTTTGTATGTATTTCTACGTATTGCATGATCACAAAATACACACAAGAGAAATTTTAAAAAGTTTTTATAATAGGTCATCTCCCACAAAATTATTATATTCTATAATGACCATAAAAAGAATTATTCACTCATTTGGACTGAAGTAATGCAGTCCATTAGGGAATATTGTGATAATGTTAAAATTTACATTCTGTAAAGGAGCTCCATCCTTGAGAGATCCTTGCACAGTACATGTTCCTCCATTTAAATCTCTATGAATAAAATGGTCTGCAATTATAATGTTAAACATCTTCCTAGAATAATAGTGTTAAATAGAAATTGGTTGCAATTTGCATATTTTAAGAACCCAAAGATTATTAAAAATAATGTATGATCCCCATTTCTCTCCTTACTATTTCCTAAACAGGTACATTAAAATATTTGTTTTGAGGGAGGCTGAAATACAGTGTACTGATTCACTGCCACACTACAGCCTAATCATGTAGTTGTTAAATAAAACACATGGTTATGTCCTATTCCAAAACACCATTTGAGTAACAAGTCTGCAGCATGACCTTATATGCTTAAATAATTAAATACATTGGAAGTGAATAAAAGCAATTGGAAATTATGTCTTTCTAAAAACCTTAAGAATACCTAAGAACAGGATTAGGAGGATGTGAGGGTATTTCCTTTCCTAAACCTGATTTGTGGATATGTATTTTATTACCTTTGTGTTTAAAGTCTCTATAACAACCATATGCTTTTTTTCTAAACGGACTACAACATACGTAAAATTTGGCTGTGATTTATAGCTGATAATAACACATGACATTTTGTAATTTTGATTTTGTAAATAGGACGACTATTGCACAATAAAAAGAGGCACACCCAACTTTTAAAATCCTGCTTCTCATGATTTGCACCTGGAATTTCAGATACTATATTAGTATCTGAACAATACCCTTTGCTGAACAATAAACAAGTAAATAATCTGAGTATGGCTCAAAGGGCAGATAAACTTTCATAGGAAAAAATGTTGTATGGTATAATCATATTGTACTGATGCAAGAAACACAAGTTAGGGTAATACCAAATGTTCTTTATTGATTTATTCAGCTTATATGTTATCTCAGTCACTGAGCAATTCTAGATTACTGTTTATAGCCCTTTATTGTTATGGATATTAAACTACCACTATCAATTTATGCCTGAATTTAACTCCCTGATAATTAACAAACTAATAACTATCACACACACACCAACCTAAGTTCAAGAAATGTAGATATGAGAGTTTTCATTAGAAGACTATTATAAAACTTTATTGTGATATAATCCACCATAACACTGAAATAACAGCTAATCAAATTCTTCAGAAAACCTTGGGTTTGACCTAATATACAATGAAAGAATTATGTTAGAAAAAAGGTCTATGTCTATCAAGATCCAGGGTCTGAATTCCAATTTACTTACTTAGTGATTCAAATTATAATATTTAACTCAATATTTATTTTCATTGAAAAATGTCAATAATTTTTAGTAAGCAATATTTTCCATCAAAGTATTATATTTAATGTAATTGCTTTCCTATAAAAATGAAGTCCAAAATTTTTCAGGAGTACTTTCACAATGGAGATGGGATCATCTTTTTTTGAAGCCATATTTCTTTCGCTCATAAAAGAGATCTGTTTTTGAACTCCCCAAATTGACAATCTTGGGACAGCCATCTCTCTGGAACAGTGCGAAAAACAAACAGTTAGAACAAGCTAAGCCTAATAGATTCCAAAAGAAATAATCATAGTATCTGTATGTCACAATTCCAATGGAATATGTGTCTGTGTGTATGGATGTGTGCAAGAATGAGATATGTTATGTCCTGTATTAACCCACATACTGCCTATAGACAATTATGATGTCCTATTCCTAATATCACATTAAGAGATAGTACTTTACATTCCAGACTGCAGTCTTACAAAGCACTTATTTAAAAGAAACCTGCCACTAAATTTGATAAGACTAGCATAGAAATACAAAAGGGTAGGATTTGTTTCAATGCAATTTCTCCATAAAATTCTACAATCAACTGTCATTGCCCAAAAGGTGCATTACTTGAATAGCACTTTCCTGAAACTCAGGAACATAGAATTTGAAACAAATAAATAAAAACAATGAAGCAGGCATAGACAACAAAAAGTTGCAAAAATCCAATAAAGGTATAAGCGAATGGATATAATATATTCAAAGTACAGGTTTTTTTTAAAGTAAGACACAGTATATGGCAGATATACTAACTTTGCAAAAATAATAATGCTTGTGGAATAATATTGTACTTATTAAATACTTTGTGTTTTTTTTGGTTCATCTCAATGACTTTTGAAATCAATCTGCTAAAATGGGAAAGATTTTTGCACATATTTTTTTCTTATCTTTTCAACTTTTATTTCTTCCTATCATTACAAGTGCAGGGTCTGCTTTTTCCATTGAACCAATATTGATCCATTGGTTATGACAGGAATTGACCAAACAATTTGGTACCTGAGCCAGCTATCATGGGCTGAAAGAGAGTGACAGCAATAGCATTTAGATTTATATACTGACTTCACAGTGCTTTACAGCCCTCTCTTAAGTGGTGTACAGAGTCAACATTTTGCCCCCAACAATGTGGATCCTCATTTTACCCACCTTGGAAGGATGGAAGGCTGAGTCAACCTTGAGCCTGGTGGGATTTGAACTTTCAGATTGCAGGCAGTCGGCAGTCAACAGAAGTAACCTACAGTACTGCACTCTAACAACTGCACCATTGTGGCTCATAGCAGTCAGGCTCTCAGCGGTCACCCAACTAGATTTCATAGAATTCAAGAGTCTTCTGGTTTTAGCATGGTGCCTTAAACGCTGGACCAAATTGGCTCTCCAATTATCTTCCAAACTACTGTATATTTATTCAACTGATACCCTAATGTTCAACTAATCATAATTTAGCCATTGTCTATCCACTGCAGGATGAAGTCTTCTTTCACAATTTTTCAACCAATATGGTCCTAAGCTTTATTTTGCCAATTGGGTCCACAATACTTGCTGATCTCATCATCCATCTTGTTTTAGGACTTTTTTGTGGATGCTTTTTATCAAGTGGGATCCTTTCTATGACTGACTTGGTCCACCTGCCATCAGTTCTTCTTGCTATGTGACCAGCCCATTTCCATTTCAATTCTTTTACTCTTAATGATATTGTGTACTATAGTACTAGAAGTTTCTTTAAACAATTAGTTCTAACCTCCTATAATTTAAATAATAAGATATAGAATTATGCCCAAAAATTAATTAGAGAAAATTTGAATAAGAATTCTCACTTTTAGGCAGTTTAATATAAAAGGGCACATATTAGTTAAAAATAAAAGTACATACATTTAAATTCAAATGCCCAAAGTTTACATAGTTACAGTGCCATAAGTATTCAGAGCTTTTGCAACAAACACTTAAAATTTAGGCCTGCTGCCCCATATTTCTCTTAATCATTGCTGACGTTTCTATATTTTGATTGGAGTCAATCTGTGGTAAATTAAATTCTTTGGACGTGATTTGGGAAGGTACACACCTCTCTATAGAAGCTGTCACAGTTGGCAATGCATACTGTAGCAAAGCAAAAGCCATGAGATCAAAGGAGCCTGCAGAGCTCAGAGATAGGATTATTGCAAGGCACAGATCTGGGGAAGGCTACAATGAAATTTCTGCTGCGCTGAAGGTTCTAACAATACAATGACCTCCATAATTGTCAAATGGAAGATTTTTGGCACAATCAGGACTGTTCCAAAAGCTGGTTGCCAAGTCAAACTGAGCAATTGGTGGAGGAAGGGCCTTAGTAAGAGAGGTGACTAAAAACCCGATGGTCACTGATTGAACGCAGGAGATCCTGTGTGAGATGATACAACAATCACTACAGCCTTCCACAATCTGAGCTTTATGGCAGAGTGGCTAGATGGAAGCCTCTCCTCAGTGCAAAACACATGAAAGCCTGCTTGGAGTTTGCAAAAAAGCACCTGAATGACTTTCAGACTGTGAGGAACAGGTATCTCTGGTCTGATGAAATCAGCATTGAACTGTTTGCCTCTAAATGTTATGTCTGAAGGAAACCAGGCACTGCTCATCACCTTCCAAATATCATCCCAACAGTGAAGCTTGGTGGTGGCAGCAACATGCTGTGGGGGAGTTTTTCAGCAGCAGGGAAATTGGTCAGGGTTGAGTGGAGCAAAGTACAGGGATATCTTTAAGGAAAACCTGTTCCACAGTGCTGAGGACCTAAGACTGGGCTGAAGGTTCACTTTCCAACATGACAATACATAGCGAAGACAACACCGGAGTGGCTTAGGGGCAACTCTGTGAATGTCCTAGAGTAGCCCAGCCAGAGCCCTGACTTGAACCTTATTGAACATCTCTGGAGGGACCTGAAAATGATTGTTCACAGACTCATCTTGAGAGGATTTGCAAGGAAGAGTAGCAGGAAATCCTCCAATCCAGGTGTCCAATCCAAGTTTGTCGCATCATACCCAAAAAGACTTGAGGCTGTAATTGCTGCCAAAGGTGCTTCAACAAAGTATTGAGTGAAGGTCTGAATACTTATGCCAATGTAATATTTCAGTTTTTTCTTTTTAACAAATTTGCAGACATTTCTAAAATTCTGTTTTCACTTTGTCATTATAGGGTGCTAAGTGTAGATTAATGGGGAAAAATGAATTTCAGCAATTGTAGAATCAGGCTGAAGCATAACAAAATTGACAAAAGTGAAGTGCGCCTGAATAGTTTCTGAATACACTGTATGTATGTACATATGTTTAAAAGGATAAAAATAAAAAAAATCTATAAAACTTACATCTTTTTCCTGAATAGTACATTCCTTGCAGTAATAAGCATCAGAGACTCCAGGACCCCCACATATCACACAGCGTCCTTGATAAGAGCCATAGTTGCATTCATCACAAATGCGCACCAGTGTACAAGGCCGTACATAAGAGTCACAGATAACACATTTGCCATCACCTGAAAACAAAAGTATACACATTTCACTTGAGATAAGATATATACAGAAGATAACATTCAAACAAAGCAAAGCTATAGTCCAATTGATTACATATGAAATGTATTTGAAGGATAGTCACTGGACCTTTTTCTTTCACCTTACATGTTGCAGTGGGTTTTTAACATCCAAATATAAATATATCACTTTACATTATTTTCAAGCTGGATTTAGAAGTTGCAAAAGGCAACTGGCATATAAGTGACATTCACCATATCTTTAATCAAAGTACCATTTTGTAGTGTATGGGGAAAGAATCCTCTTTAACCAACTCTAACCTTTTTCTTTCTTCTAGAAAGCACTATCAAGTTTAGGCAGAAACAAATATATGAATCAATCCAAAATAATATTTTGTCAATACAAGCTTACAATTTTTCTTAGGATGGAAAACTCAAGAGTTTATAAACTATTTATTCACTACACAAAAGAAATGCTGAAAAGACAAGTAGCATTTAGACAATGCTAACAAAGCAATTTAGAAACACATCACTGAAGTCAGTGATGGTGGTGGAATCGCACAGAATGAACAGAAGTCAATGAAATATTGGCAGTGAAGGTATTGAAGTGATAGATAACATCTTTTAGAATCAACAATTAACTGTAAGGAACAAGCAGTCAAAAACATACTGCAACTAGCACTTGGTAGAGCAGACATGAAGTCCTTGGAAAAGAGATACACATGCTGTAATGTCTCTATAACTATAAAGATCACTACTGGGCAAGGAATGTAAATAAACTCCCGGTGATCCATTATGGAAGTGAAAGTTGAATGTTGAAGAAGTGGGATAGGAAGGTCATTGACATTTTTGAACTTTGGTATTGAAGAAGGTTCCAGAGAATACTATGGTAAGCCCAAAAACAAACAAACACATGGATCATCAAACAAATCAATCCAGAATTCTCACTCAAGGCACAAAATGACCTGGCTCAAATTATTCTACTCTGGCCACATTATGCAAAGACCTAGCTTCCTAGAGAAGGGCCTGGTGTTGAGAAAGGTTGAGGGAAAGAAGAGTGTGACCAACAGCAAGGTGAAGAAACTCCGTTACAGTAGCAATGATTGAAGTTGGAAGATTTGAAATATCAGGTTGGAGACAGATTGTTATGGAAAAATCTATGTGGTGATTAGGAGTTGAAAATGAACTTAATAATACACACCAAGGAATGCAGTAAAATATAAATAAGACAATGTCAAGTACTGGACCATATTAATAGATTTAAAAATACCTACAAATGAAGAGATTCACATTTATTATCTGTGCCCTAATTCATGTAAGTTTATTCCTACTGAAAGAACAAGTGACTTCTTTTTGCAGTTCAGTTCCATTTTTATTGGATGGGAAAAACTATAATTCCTCTGCTCAAAATCTTGCCACCAGCATTCAATTTCTAGTTTCCAGAAGGAATAAAATTATTGGTTTACATTAGTGTGGCATGAAGCAATTGATCATGAGGAAGTATAACAACTACATTTCTCTATCCATATTTTCCTAGTCTATAGTAACTTGCACTATTGCTTCTGCCTCATAATGGCAAGTTTTCAGCACTCTGTGTACAACATGCAGACCTTAGAATACTTTTTGAAGTCATTTGGTACCTAGAATTTCACTATCAATATTTGCCAGCTATAACTAAAAAATAAAGATGGCTGAAATAGATGTATTACTTTTGAGAATAATTTAACAAACCTATCAGACCTGGAAGGCTTGCCAATATGAAATCTCTAATAAAATGGAACTTTGAGGAAACTCAAGTCTCGGAGTTTTCTTTCATTGGGAATGTTACTTGGAACCATGACACCACCACAGAAACAGCAGAACTATCCATCATTATGTCAGGATGATACCTTTGGCTACCATTCAAATAATGTGAAATGATAATGCATCCTCCTATATCCACTGAAATATTACTTATCCCTACCTTAGAGTCAAGGAAAACTGCATATCATGCCACTAGCAGCATTATTTTAAAAAAATCTTCACAATAAACGTTTTAAACTATCTTGAACTAATTATGTTTCCATTTCTTTATCTGTAAGGAAGCTGGCACAGAAATTAGGTGCATTTTTATAAGCCTTTCTTGGTCCAATTTTCCTCTGCCGAGGGGTCTTTCCATAGTTGTCTTTCAGGTAAATATGTTGCATATATTCCTGCTTGCCTGAAAGGACCAGCGATATATTTGATGTATACAGTATTAAGACTGACACCTGTGAGCTGATTCAGTAAAATATTTCTAAGCTATCATTTGGTGCTAAAAACAGATTTCATATAAGTTGCTACTTTTGTTACTTCTCACATTTGTAGACACAGATTTGCTATGCTTTATCTTCTGATCATAGTATGGTTATGTATCAGCCCATCTTTGAAAAACTATTCAGAAACAGCTGATTTAAAATACAGTAGAAAGTTATCAACTGGAAATGGCAAACACATTCATTTAAGCTTTCTATATTGCTTTTTATACCATTTTCAGTCTCAATTCAAAGAGCTACTAAACCTCTTAGTATTTGGTGACAGGTTATCACACTCCCCCTTCATATTTCATTCTTTCTACTATTTTATTTTCAAATTATAAAATATTTTGGCTACTCTCATATTTTAATTAACTATCTAGCTTATTGGAAACACAATACCAAATCAACCAAGTTTCCTGATTTAGGTCAAAGGAGTTGCTAGTCAAGTATGTCACAAGTCTATTCAAAGTGCAATTATACAGCTACAGTTGAGGTCTACCTATGATGTCAATTACAGGCCTCTCTCACCTTTTTAAGTGGGAGAACTTGCACAATTGGTGGCTGACTAAATACTTTTTTGCCCCACTGTACATATATGAAATTTAGTTCCAAAGAGTATCTACATATAGAATTTACTTGCACATGAAAATAGAGCTTTAGACAACCGGACCTTTTGCAGATGCCACATGATCACATAATTGTTTTTAAAATTTGCAGATAGGTTTTAACTACACCTCTGCATGCATCAAAACAGCTTTTGGAAATGAAATTCAAACCTTTAATGATTTTATCTTAAATTATTCCAAGAAATTCATTATATTCACAAAATAAAGATGTTGATATTTTAGTCAATTAGTGAAATATTCTGGCATGAATTCACAACAAATATATATAAAGCTATACTTACATTTTTCACATAGTCTCCCAATAGCTGCAATAGCAAAAAATAAAGTCATATTGATATTTAGAGTTCAAAACTAAACACCAATTTAAATATCATGCATTCTCTTATTATGCTAATATTCATGTATATGTGAAGTGAGATAATCATTGTTTTTAAAAACGGTAATGAAGGCTTATGTTCCACTAAGTCAGAGACTTGGTGACATACAGGTAATCCTCAAATTATGACCACAATTGAGCCCAAAATATCTGTTGTTAAAAAAGACACTTAATGATATTTCATTTAATGATCTTATGATCTTTCCCCTCAGT